TTTAGTTTATGGCTTATATTTTCTATAAAGATACAGGCACTCTTTCTTTCTTAGCAAAAATTATACTTTATTAATCATATACAAAACTATGGAACTATAAATGTTTGACATGGAAGAGTCCTTAGAGATACATCCTCTAGGTGGGCTCTTCCAATGACATGCAGGTGAGGAGGCAGGCCTGCAAAGGGAGGGGTCTGCTGGAGGAAGTGGCTAACTTGTCTGCGGCTGGGACTGGTGCTTGATCCCATCCCAGTGCTCTTGGTACCGCCTACCTCTTAGCATTACCAGTGAGTTCATATTGCCTTATTCTGCTGGAAAACATTAGATAACTCTTGATGAGTCTATTTTAATTTTTCATTTGTTATTTAGTCAAGATACTGATTTTAGCATAAAAGTTGCCCATTTTTAACAAATATTAAAAAATTTAAAATGGTTTCTCATAATTACCAAGGTGAAACTGATTTCTTTTTAAAGGAAATCTTTAATAAAATAACACAATGTTTAAACAACTGTCAAAATAAAACTTTCTAAATTATTTACCTTCTCTCATGTCTCATGAATGTAGAGAGGACCTTGTTGGTAGTAAATAAAGATGCTTTAATAACTTGTCCTATATTCACAAATCAAACCATCATCTCAAATGTATTGGAAGTGTGGTAGGATGGGAGAATTGTCCAGAAAGGCCTCAAAGTCTGTGGTGGTTATTGGAAGAAGTTACCTACTTCTTGCTTGGTGCTGGATTTGCTAGAAGGTCAGGTTGATCTAGGGGGAAATTTTAGGGTCTAAAGGTTTAGGACCTATACTACAAACACCAATAACAGAATTAAAAAAGGAAAAAAAACTCACCTTGCAATTGCAGCACTTTAACACTTTAATTACTTTCATTTTCTCTGTTCATTTTCAGTCCTTGATTTTTATGCCATCATTTCATATAACTAAATATAGCATAGTTACACTGATGAATTCTTTTTTACTCAACATTTTATTGTGAACACTTTGTCTTAGAGGTATTTTGGTTACAAGGAACATTCACTCAGGGAATTTAAATTACCTCAGAAAAGTTGTGGTGGGGGTGTTGTGTGTATGTGTGCCTACTCCTATAGAAATCCAAGGACAGGAACCTAAGACAGCTAAGATCTCCAGGAATTGGAGCTAGGATGCTGAAAGCCATCACCTACTGAAGCTGTTCTCTTTAGGGGCCCAGGTGGGGCCTCTGCTTACTTGTGCATTTCTATTGCTCAATTGCATAACTTCAGCTGTTCATCACCAGAATTGGTTACCCCAAACTACAGGACCTGACAGCTCCAGAGTTTTCAATCATCCTCTCTCTAGATCTCCTAAAGTCACATCCTGGCTTAATTGGCCTGATTTATCTTTTCCATCCAGTTAGATCACAAAAATCAGGTTACTGTTCAGCCCGTGGATTGGCTGTTACTAGCTCAAGGACACACTTTGGCCCAGTCAGGTGCAGCTAGGGAGGAGGAGCCTATGCTCCAGACTCTAGCACCGCAGGCAGCAAGGCCATATTCAGGGCTCCCTCATGTCCACCCCAAACAGTGAGTGTGGAGGGGCAGGCACCAGCTCCCTTGCGGCTGTGCAGCCTTCATAACTACAAATTTTAATGAATGCACAACATTACATCAAGTAGCTGTTCCGTAATTTATGATCCCATTCTTCTGCTGTTAGTTTCAGTTTTAGTTTAGCACCTTTTGGTTTGGGGGCTGCTACAAGTAAAACTATGAACATGTCCATGCACACTTCTTTCTTTTCATGTGGACTATAGAAAATAACCTTTAAATAGAGATTACATTCTCTGAGCACCTTCAGGATCTAAAACATAACCTTGCATTTTTTGTTTAAAAAGTGTCTGTATTTGCTAGAGATTTATATGTAAGTAGTTATGGGCAAAATAATAGGATGTGATATCTGGGATTCCAAGATGTTTTCTTTTCCTTCAAAACACTCTAGGAAAAGAATGGGGGTGGGTGGGTGATAGCGGCAGCAGGACTGGTGAAATGCTGCTGACTGTTGGAGCCGATGATACCTGGAGGTTTATGATATATCATTGTCTCTATTTTGCTGTTTATACCCCTTCCCTTCTCTTCTTCTCTCTCTGGGATGTTTTTTTTTTAAATCAAACCATCATCTCAAATGTATTGGAAGTGTGGTAGGATGGGAGAATTGTCCAGAAAGGCCTCAAAGTCTGTGGTGGTTATTGGAAGAAGTTACCTACTTCTTGCTTGGTGCTGGATTTGCTAGAAGGTCAGGTTGATCTAGGGGGAAATTTTAGGGTCTAAAGGTTTAGGACCTATACTACAAACACCAATAACAGAATTAAAAAAGGAAAAAAAACTCACCTTGCAATTGCAGCACTTTAACACTTTAATTACTTTCATTTTCTCTGTTCATTTTCAGTCCTTGATTTTTATGCCATCATTTCATATAACTAAATATAGCATAGTTACACTGATGAATTCTTTTTTACTCAACATTTTATTGTGAACACTTTGTCTTAGAGGTATTTTGGTTACAAGGAACATTCACTCAGGGAATTTAAATTACCTCAGAAAAGTTGTGGTGGGGGTGTTGTGTGTATGTGTGCCTACTCCTATAGAAATCCAAGGACAGGAACCTAAGACAGCTAAGATCTCCAGGAATTGGAGCTAGGATGCTGAAAGCCATCACCTACTGAAGCTGTTCTCTTTAGGGGCCCAGGTGGGGCCTCTGCTTACTTGTGCATTTCTATTGCTCAATTGCATAACTTCAGCTGTTCATCACCAGAATTGGTTACCCCAAACTACAGGACCTGACAGCTCCAGAGTTTTCAATCATCCTCTCTCTAGATCTCCTAAAGTCACATCCTGGCTTAATTGGCCTGATTTATCTTTTCCATCCAGTTAGATCACAAAAATCAGGTTACTGTTCAGCCCGTGGATTGGCTGTTACTAGCTCAAGGACACACTTTGGCCCAGTCAGGTGCAGCTAGGGAGGAGGAGCCTATGCTCCAGACTCTAGCACCGCAGGCAGCAAGGCCATATTCAGGGCTCCCTCATGTCCACCCCAAACAGTGAGTGTGGAGGGGCAGGCACCAGCTCCCTTGCGGCTGTGCAGCCTTCATAACTACAAATTTTAATGAATGCACAACATTACATCAAGTAGCTGTTCCGTAATTTATGATCCCATTCTTCTGCTGTTAGTTTCAGTTTTAGTTTAGCACCTTTTGGTTTGGGGGCTGCTACAAGTAAAACTATGAACATGTCCATGCACACTTCTTTCTTTTCATGTGGACTATAGAAAATAACCTTTAAATAGAGATTACATTCTCTGAGCACCTTCAGGATCTAAAACATAACCTTGCATTTTTTGTTTAAAAAGTGTCTGTATTTGCTAGAGATTTATATGTAAGTAGTTATGGGCAAAATAATAGGATGTGATATCTGGGATTCCAAGATGTTTTCTTTTCCTTCAAAACACTCTAGGAAAAGAATGGGGGTGGGTGGGTGATAGCGGCAGCAGGACTGGTGAAATGCTGCTGACTGTTGGAGCCGATGATACCTGGAGGTTTATGATATATCATTGTCTCTATTTTGCTGTTTATACCCCTTCCCTTCTCTTCTTCTCTCTCTGGGATGTTTTTTTTTTCCTCTAGTTTCTTGGTCTCCCCATGCTGCCTTCTGGATTCCCCAAAGTTTTTCTCAGTTTCAGTCACTTCTAATATCTGCTTCATAGTTACCTTTTCCTTTACTGAAAACTCAAGTCCATCCATCTATACACCCATACAATAATTCACATAAAAAATTTGAGCCTATGTTTTGGGCAAGATACTGTAAAAGGTTCAAACTGTAGTCAGTTTCATTGTCTTCTGTATTAACACAATCACAACTTATTTTGTACCATGTGATAAGAGATAGGTAGCTTAACGTTCTTGGAAGTAACTAATTTGGAAGAGGGGCCCAGTGCCCTCTGGTGGCGGGGCAGCATGATAAAGCACAGGACACAAGGGCCAGCAGAGCTGGGGAGAGGGGGCTTTCTCCTGCAATACCCATCTCCACCTTACCGCCTTTTTGGCCAATGGTTTTCAGCTTTTCAGAATTTCGAACTGGAAGCTACAATTTGAGGTAATATTTAGTAAAATGAAAATTGTACATATTAAGATCCTTGGAATTTTGTAACCTTTAATATAAAGATTAAAGAGTCTTAAGTGTTCAAGGAAATTAATATTTTTTATTCATGCTAAAAAAGCAGAAATCTAATCAAATGGCTAAATTTTGTATTAATTTCCCCAAACATTAGTAGATTATGTTGTTATGTGAGCTAAGTGAAATTGCAGGCTGATAATCCTGAGGACTTCTGACTTGAAAAGTCACAATGTAAAAAAACAACTCAAGGTGGGGCCTTGACTCCAGAGTTGGAACCCCCAGAGGTCTGGCTGTACAAGCCTGTGCGTGCCTGTGTCTTGCAGGACTGGAGAACTTCTCAGAACTCCCCCGGCTCCCTCCACATGCCTCTACCTTTGCACTCCTAAGCTTGGATTATAACTCTATGCTTTCTTGTCAGTCTCCCTCACTGGTCTGTGAGCTTCTGTGGGAGCACAGGAATTCTGTATTTTTCAATGCCTGGAATGTACTTGGCCTTCAGTAAATATCAGTTGAATAAGAGACCCAAAAAGTTATTAAGAATATCTCCATAATCTTCCTTATAGATTCTCTTCTTCCATGCACAGACCTGAAGATGGTCCCATTCTTCAGCCTGACTCTGAGGACTTTCTGCTGAGAAAGTAACTCCAGCAAAACTCCAATGAGTCCCTTTAAAGGACTGCCTACTGCTGGGTGGGGTCCCTGGATTCAGGTCACCCAGAATATGCTTTTGACATCAGCTTTCTCCTTCCTGAAACAGGACTGTTACCTCTAAACTGTTCAAGTGCTTAGTTTTTTTTTTTCAGTGTAACTGCTAAAGATTTCCAAACATAAGCTTATAATTAAAAATCCACATTAATCCAATTCAGAATCTACTGTGAACACAGCAGGCCAGCAACAAGTTTATTATTAGGCTTGCAAGGTAACAGGGTGGTACATGGCTAAGTGTTTGGCCAACTGTTTTTGAGTTTCTCTCTACTGACTTCTGCTGTCAAATTTCCCTTCTGGTATTTGCAGTGATTTCTCATACTTGGTTGGTTTGTCTTTATGAGGAGTGGGGTGGGATGGGGAAAAAGCAAAGCAAAAGAAATAACAAGAAGTGAATGCAGCCTCCCTTTAGAGCCTCATTACAGAAACTCGGGGCAGTTTACCTGATCTGTGATAGTCATTTTCTCAATATCAATGTTATTAGAGGTCAGGATATCTTTGAGATAGGTCACTGTTTCTGGAGGGAGATAAGGGTTTCTTCCCAAGATCCAAACGTGATCCATGTGAAAAAGCCAGACGATTGTAGTACAGGAGTACACGAGGGCGTAGTTCTCATAGTCAGTGGCAAGGACCCAGTATGGAGATGATGGCATCACTGTGAACCAGAGGCGGACAGTATTAGGAGAGACCAGGGCATGGGAAACCATCTCCAGGACCCATGGAAACCAGGCTCTGGCTCCTTCATCAGTGGTTCTTAATACTGACTTCATGTAGAATCATATGTGAGCTTTGAAAAATACTAGGTCCACTTCCCTCCACCCCACCCTACATTCTTATCTGAGGTGGTTGGTACTTTTGAAAATCCCCAGTGATTCAAATGTGCAGCCAGAGTTCAGAGCCATCATTTTGGATCCTTCCTCCTTGGTAGCAGATTAGTCTCTGGAAGCCCAAAGTAACTGGGGGTTTGGCTGATCCCCTGGACTAACTGGCTGTACTTAGCACTAATGCATATGGAGGCATCACTTAGCTAAGTGGAGTCAAGAATGTGAGGTCAGGAGCTCTAGGCTTTCCGAGTCTATACCACCCAGCTTCCTGTAGAACCTATGAAAATAGAAGGTAGGAGGTAGGGGTTCATATTGGTTTATTTGTTTTTCTTCTTGTGTGACCTTCTAAAAATCCCACCATTCTTAAGAATATGATAAATCACGTGGCAACAGGTTATAAACTCTTCCTCACAAAGGGCCTACCTATAAAGATTCATTGACTGACATGTGTTTAGGCTTGAAAGTTCAACATTAAAGGGGTCCTTAGTAAGAGAGCTGGAGGATCTACCTTTTCCATCTGAATCCAGAAACTTTGGATTCATGAACTTCACCTCTGTGAACCTGACCTCCACAGCCAAGATGCAAGCCAGGGAAAACTCATAGCCCAACTTGTTTAAAGTTAAGTGGAAGGTTGACTTAAATGGTAGAAAGCTGTGTGCTGACCCCATAAGACTAAAAGATTTGGATACATAAACAGTCATGGGTGATTTGCCTTCCTGAGTTTTAAGCATCCTACCTCCTCCACTCAAAGATAATCTCTCTGTTTGCCAAGTCAAACCAGATCTGAGCACTTGTGAATGACCATGAGAAGCTGCTGGACAAGGAGGCAGTGTTGAGTGGTGAGAGCTGAGTGTCAAGGACCCAGATGGTTATCAAGACAACACAAGAGGGCTAGTCCAGATACCAGCCCACCAAGGGTCTTCATACCTCTGTCTTTCTACTTGTTTATAAATACGAAAACAGAAGACTACTTGGAGGACATGGGGATGGCAGCATGGACAAGGCTGAAGGACTGAGAGTGGGATTGCTTCTGATTACTTTTCTAGCACTGTTGGTGCCCACCTGCCAGGCTCACTCACAAAAGCATATGTTCATCATACATCTGCTGTCTTTGGATTTCAATTGCTTTGTATGTTCCCCGCTGAACTGAGAGCTCCTCAACTCTAAGCGATTTGGGGAAAATATGCCTTCTGCCTCTGCCAGCAACAGCATCATGCCCCACTTGCACATAGCCAGGCGTGCACATTCTGTCTTCCTCCCACAGAGTCTAGCTCTCAAGCACAAATTACCCAGATATTTCCTCTTTGTAAAGACAACTTACATGTCCCTTTATTAGAAAACTTTGGCAGACTTCTATTGCTCATGGAAGACACTTCAACTCTCTGACATGGCATTTGAGGCCCTCCCCAGGCTTGTCTCTTGCTCCCTGCACCCTCCTATGCTCTAGGCTTCCTTCTCCAGGTCTTTCTTCATGCCCTTTTTCTACTCAGGACATCCTTTCCCAGAATCCCCACTACACCCTGCAAGACCCAATGCAAACATCTAATCCTTTCAACCAGAGCATATCTCTTCCTCCTCTGCTTCCCATCAGCTATTAGCTCTCTTTTAGCTCCTGTCGCAGGCTTCCTTATAAAGGTTATGCACATAATATGTAACCTTCACTCCCATCCCCACCCCTCACTTGAGAGTTTGGAGACCTAGGTCATAGTCCCAACTCTGCCTCTAATTAGTCCAGTGATCTTGCCTACATCACTTAGCTTTTCTGCACTGGGATTTATTTATAAAATGAACAAGAGAAATTGATACATACAGAGCCCCTTGTAGTTTACAGAGCATGTTATCTAGAGAATTAGTGTTTGGGGCTTTCTCTGTACCTGTATCCATTCCTCTATTAGCCTAGAACTCAGAGGGCAAATGCCTGTGATTAAATCTCTCAGGAACCCGACAATGTGGCTGCAAAGTAGCAGACAAAGCAAGGACTCAAACTTACCTTCACTCTGTCATTGCTTGCATCTAAGCTTTTGCACATGTTAGTTGTTCTGCTAATAACTGCAATTTCTCAGGCCTATTTCCTCTGGGAAGCAGGATTGGATTGGGTCTCCTACTGCTCGTGCCCTGTGCGCTCCAGACTGCACTTCCTCTATCGAAACACTTTCCCTAGTTTTATTATCATGAATCGGCTGGGTAGTTTTAGTGTCTGCACTGGGATGTAAGCTTCTCAGGGACAAGGGCCAGCTCTTCACTGCTCATCATTGCATCTCCACTGCCTAGCCCATGCATGGCATGTAGTAGGTGCTGAACAAGTAATTATGTATTGAATCATTATGGGTGACACTCAGACGTGACAAGGTTTCAGCTTTCAGTTTGTATATCTCCTGTCCCTGAAACCTCTTGAGAGATGTGGATACTTACACCAGAAAAACTTAACTCCCAGCTTGGCAGGCTCTGTGAGGTTGTCCTGGCTGGCTTCACCTTCAATTTGATTCACAGTACCATCAGGTCTGTAAGGAATTAAGACAAAACAAAACAAAACAGCTCCTGAGCTCACTGAAAGCCAAAACTCAATGAAAGGCCAGATAGGTGACACTAAGGACCATGGTAACCCACAGTGTGATTTCTGGTTAGGGAGGTTCTCAAAGGCAGGCTAGACCCTAGTCCAGTCCTTCCCCTTTCCTTTGTGACTGTCCCTCAGATCAAGTGGAGGAAGACAGCCATAGGGTGGTAAGAAACCACCATTGAAATGCTCTGGGATTGGATAATATGATAGGCTCTTGCACTTCAACACTGATTTTTGGACTGTATGCAATGGCCTGCAAAGCCATTTCCCACTTCCAGGCTCCAAAGAGAGAGGGACTAAAAGAGAAGAGAAAAACAATCAAAGTAAACCACCCAATACGCTAAGAAGATCCACCTCTTTAAAACTGAGGATGGACCAAAGGAAAAAACAAAGACTGACTTGATCGCAGAAAATAAAGCAAAACATGGAGTCTGGAGATCTGCAAGCTTCCCCCTTACTTTGGGCCTCAGTGATATCACATGTCATCTGTCCCATAAACGGGTTCGTATACCTGAGCCCTGAGACCCCCTCTCATTCAGCAAGTTTCTGGTGGGGTGGGGAGATTTGACATAGGCCAGGTAAAACAGGCAGAGAGGAAACAGTTACCTCATTTCAGTAATTCTTGTGGCATCCAGATCTCAGAGACATTAAACGTGAAGGAATGTGCATCTTATAATTAATTTCACATTCCAGTTGCAATTGGCAGAGCCATTTCTGTCTTAGTGGGTACATGAAATGGTTATGTGTCTAAAAGTGATGGTCTTAGATTGGATGAAATGCTTTCACTCTTTTGAAGGGAGCTGCCGATCCCCCAACCCCACCATTTCTGGATAATTCTCAATGACCCATGGACCTGCAGGGGAGGAGAAAGGCCTGGGTTTGGAGGCAATGAAGGGAGGGTTCAAACATCAGGATGTCCTACACCTCAGATGATAAGCAGCAGGTAGGGAGGGCGGGAAAAGTCCTCTGAAGCTACTGTGTGCAGTACGTTTGTCATGAGTGGGGCTGCAGAGTGTGCCCTGCTGTCAGCTGGTCTGCATACAGTTGCTTAGCAACAAACTAATTCTGCCCAACAGACTTGCCCTCCCTTCACCTTTTATGTTTTGCTCCATAACAGTTTTTAAAACTCGTCTTTGATCATAAACTCACAATTTGTTCATGGGGAAAAATGCATTTGTATTTTCAAGGGTAGCACCAGATTAACAATAATTAACAATAATAAATATTTATTAAATGATTACTATATATCCAACACTGTTCTAAGTGCTTTACATGTGTTAACTCATTTGATGCTTATACAGCCCTATAGAGGGAGGTTCTATGATTATTGTCATTTTTACAGAGGAGGAAACTGAGGCCTAGAGAATTATCATAACATCCTTGTTAGTAAGTGGCAGAACAAGTATTTGAAACCAGGCAGCCTAACTCCAAAGCCCTTCAGCTCCCAAACTTGTGCCAGCTACTTTGGCCCTCATATTCTCTGACATTGGCTAAGAGTATTCTGCTCATCCTGCAGTAGTCCTGGAAGGAGAAACCATACCATTTTTCTGAACTACCAAACATTTCTCTGTGTGCCCTTGTGTCTTAAACAGGTGTGACCCTAGAGGCAGAGTGACCTACATCTCAGGATATAGTTAAAGAGGACTCCTGGCCAACTCCAAAGGACAAATGGGGGAAATCTCATGGGTTTTGGAATCTGTGTCATTGTCTGATTCTTTGCCTTAGAATGGGACAAAATATTTGAAATGAAGTCATTGCAACTTGGTAGCCTACAAAATTCCTGCGAGACCTTCTGGGTATCTACATCTCAGTTCTGCAACATTTGTTGGGCAATGAAATGAGTTGAATTTTTCTTTAGAGGCCATAAAGGGTCTTACTTTGTTTCTATGGTTTATGCAAGGCCAGGGAATCAACCCACTGTGTTTTGGTGCGCAGGAAGCTTAGTGGATAATAGGATGGCCAAAGAAAGCCTCTCTGAGCCTGAGTAACTTACAGGCTGGGTTGCAATTACTTTCTTGGGGTTGAACACAGTTCTCAGTCCCTATAGGGAACAGGAAGAACAATCCTTCATTCCCAGCCTTTCTTTTATTTGTCTTCTGTTCTTGACCCCATTTCACTTCTCTGTGCATCTGAATCTCAGCTTTGTCATTTTTAAGCTATGTGACTCTTGGGCAAATTACTTTACCTCTCTGTAGCCCAGTTTCCTCATCCATAAATATGAGGTTAATAACAGTACCTACCTCAGGGTTGCTATGGGTATTAAATGAACATATACATATCCTCATTCACATAAACATACATACATATATGTGCACACATACATAATATATAATACACATACAGAATAGTGTCTTGAACATAGGAAACATTTACTTAAGACTAGTTGCTATTGTTTATTGTTGCTCTTTGTTGATCTTGTGGCTCTTTTTATATTTGCTTTCTAAAGTATGAATTTTTGGATCAAATCTCTTAGAAGCTTTCAGTAAAAGAAAAGTACACTTCTATAGGCTAGCCAGTTTTAGAGTGTGACTATGTATGTATTTGATTCTTGCTTAATAAGAAAAGGAGTTTTCTAATAGTTTAGAAATGAGATAAACTGTCATGGCAGGTGATGAGTTTCCAGTTCCTGGGAGGATTCAAGCAAAGCTGGACATCCTCTCTCAGTAGATAATATAGAAAGGGCTTCTTTCTTAGTTTGGAGGTCAGACAAGAATATGGTCCCCACTGTCTTTTGCTACCAGTTTCTATTTTGCAATGAGAACAGGAACCCTGGGGTTTGGATTACCATCCAGTCCCTAGTGCCTCTCACAGTAAGTACACAATAAGCTGTTCAGCAAGTGATCATGTAAATGAATGAGTGATTTCAAGTTCCTGCCATCCTTCCTGCCAGCTTTCATCTCTGGACCTGTTGTGAGCAGGTAGTCCAGACCAGCAATGTCTGCATCCTCCCTGAACTAGATTTCAAGGACACACAGTCACACTGGGACAGCTCCCTGCAGGGCTGGTTCCAGGACACTTGTTGCTTTTGAAACCACAGCCACTCACCTCATCTCCTGGTTTATCACTTTGATGTTTCCGTTTTCCATTAGGGAGTAGTTGGCTTGGATGCAACTTCCCTTTTCAAAGCTCACTGGGATCTTCTCAATTTCATACCATCTTCCAAGATACTGCAGAGATAACAAGCAGAGCAATCTCTGTGGTCTCTGGGGACCTGCAAACTCTTCCTTACTGCTGTCTCTCAGAGCAGAGCCCTTTCCTGGGGAAACCAGGCAAAATGGGCTGCATTGTTCTCAGCAGCAGCTAAGCAAGATATTGATTCAAATGAGAATAAGTGAATCGGATGTGTGGGCATTGGTTGAATGCCACATTCTATTCCTAAATTGCTCTTTATTTAGATATGCTGTCAGTGAGAGCCAAAATTTATGTGAAATTCTAAACTCCATAAAGGGGGAAGGGACTGGCCTAGATGATGTAAGATGCTATCTCAAACATTTTATGATTCTACAAGTCATCTCTGAATTGTGTGCAAATCAGATATATTCAGTGTGCAGGACAGGGACTCCAGAGTTGGTTGAGTTCTCCTCACATGCCCCTACACAGGGACTTGGTCACAAAGGCTTCGGCAGGTGATCAGGATTTAGAAGACCTGTGCCATTCTTCCACTGGGGACTTGCTCTCAGTTCATAACTCTGGGGTACAGTCAACGTCAAAGGAAGTGTGCAACTATGTGGGCGAGGGCAAGGCGAGAGAAGTACTCTCCTGCTTCCATACATTGCCTTGCATAGAGACAACCTTCTTGAAGCGCAATTTGGCACTATCTAGCAAAATTAAAAATACATATACTCTGGCCCAGAAATTTCACTTTTGTAAATGCATCCTCCTGGTAATAAAAAATGATGTGTGTATAAGATTATTCATTACAGTACTCTTTGTAATAATAAAAGACAGAAAACAGTTTAAATGAGCATCAGTAGGGGACTGGGTAAATAAATGATGGCCCATCCATATAATGGAATGTTGTACATCCTCTTCTAAAAGAGTGATGTGCAATTATCTCCAAGATACATTTGATGGAAAAAGAGCCAGGTGCAAAATAGTACATATATTAAGCTACAGCTTATGTAAAAATTGAGGCAGGGTGGGGGGCAGGCTATTATATAAGTTGTCTTTTGCTACTAGAACAAATTATCACAAGCTTAAAACACCACATTTCTGGTCTCACTGTTTTGCACTTCAGATGTCTGACATGGGTCTCATTGAGCTAAAATCAGCCCTGTTGGCAGGGCTATGCTCCTTTCCAGAGGCTCTAGAGGAGAATCTGTTTTCTTTCCTTATCCACCTTCATTCCTTGGTTTGTAAGCCCTTCTTCCATGTTCAGAGCCAGCAAAAGCAGGTTAAATTCTTCTCCCATTGTGCTTCTCTGACCTTCACTCCCTTGTATACCTCTCTGACCACAGCTGGGAAAGGTTCTCTGCTTTTAATGATTAGATTGGGCCCACCTGGATAGTGCAGGCCAGTCTTGCCATTTTAAGGTCTATAACTAATCACACCTGTGAAATCCTTTTTTAATGTAAGTGACATCTTCACAGGTTCCAGGGATTAGGGGACGGACATTGTCCTGCCTACCACAATTATGTATGGGTATAGGTACACATTCTCTCCCAAAAGGTACGCAATGACCTGTTTTTACTGATTGCTACTGGAGAGGGAAACTGAGGCTGGGGTACAGAAGTTGGGAGGGAAACGTCTTTGTATGTTTTTTTCTTAGGACTTTGAACCATGTCAATGTATTTACCCAGTCAAAATATGAATTGAAATTATTTTAGAAATTTGAAAATGTGTTACTCAACAAAACAAAATCAAAGTGATCTACTCACCTTCAAAGAGAATTTGAAATAAGAGAATACTTCAAACAGGTGACAATATTGCTTCAGTCCCTTGACTCTCTGCTCAAATATATGCCCAAATTTATGACATTAATTTTCCATTCATTTATTAAAGTACTCCTTTCAATTAAAACTACTGAACTTAACATTCATTTAAAGCACCAGAGAATAAGGTTAAAGGTCAATCAATTTCATAGGCATCCTCAGTAAAAGCTCCACTTTATACAGTGCATTTAAAATTGTTCTATTATAGTTCAGGTAACTTCAGTGCACTACAATTAAAACCAAGTAGGCATGTGTGGGTAAAGTGAAGGTTCCTATGGCCAGGATCCTCACCTGAACCTAAACTACTTGATGATGTAACTGGCCTGCTGCTAGGCTACTGCTTCCACACCCTTGGCAATAAGCTATTATTAACTCTGCTCAGTGCTGGGCAGAGGCAGAGACAAAGGAGGATTACAGACCAGCAAACTGTAGGATGCAGATGTAATTATAGTGCTCAAGCTATCATTGGGAGAACAAGCTGGGTAATAAATCCTTTCACCCCAAGAGCATTCCTCAGTCTCATTGAATCCATAGTGAACTTTTCCAGGCTGAAACCCTCAGGCAAGATAGCATGCTTTTCATGTCATGCTCCCTCATGGTCTCATATTATTTTTGTGAAGTCCTTTTCATCTTTTGGGTCTCAGTTTATCTATATAAGGAGAAGGCAATGTTTCACAAGAATCCTGGAAAGGAAGAAGTAAAAATATATCTATTTGCAAATGACCTGAGTTTGCATATAGAAAATCCTAAGGAATACGCACACACTCAAAAACTATTAGAATGAATAAATGAATTCAGTAAGGTTAAAGGATATGGAATCAATATACAGAAATCAAATGTATTTCTGTATTTACAATGAACAATCTTCAAATGAAATTAAGAAAATTCCATTTACAATAGCATCAAAAGAAAGAAATACAAATAAATTTAACCAAAGAAACACAAAAGGTATATGTGGATAAAGTGAAGTTTCCTGTGGCCAGGATTCTTACCTGACTCTGGCTGGCTAGCTCACTACACACGTGTGGGCAATACATTGCTATTGACTATATATAGAGAACCCTGCCCAGTACTCTGGGCAACACAGTGGTGTGGCTGCAGGGCTGCAAGCCTGCAGGACAGCAGAGACTAGAGTGGTGGCAGCACCAGGGATAGAGACTGAGACGGCTCCGGAGGCAGAGAGGCCCAGAGGCAGAGACCAGCTTCTTGCATGCAGACTCACTCTGAGTGGACAGGATTCTAGTGATTGACCTGCCACTGTGGGAATAAAGTTGGGTATAAACCCTTTCACTCCAAGAATGTTACATTGTCATTTTTCAGTCTCATTGAATCCATAGTGACTTGCCCAGGACTGAAGCCCATTGGCAAGACAGTATACTTTGAAAATTATGAAAAATTATTGAAAGAAATTAAAGAAGACCTAAGTAAATAGAAAGATTTCCTGTATTCATGGATTGGAAGACTGATTGTTAGGATGGTGACACTTTCCAAATTGATTTACAGATTCAATGCAATCCCTACCAAAACTCCAATTGCAAAAAAAGAAATACAAACTCAAACTGGATTCTTTGCAGAAACTGACAAAGTGATTCTAAAATTCATATGGAAATGCAAAGGACCCAGAATAGCCGGAAGAACAAAGTTGGAGGACTTATATGTTCTGATTTCAAAACTTACAACAAAGCTATAGTAATCAAGACTGTATAGTATTGGCATAAAGACAGATATATAGATCAATATAATAGACTTGAGAGTCCAGGAATAAACTATTATATATATGGTTCATTGATTTTCAACAAGGATGCCAAAATTATTTATGGGGAAAGAATAGTCTTCTCAACAAATAGGTCTGGGGCAACTGGATATCCATATGCAAAAGAATGAAGGTCGACTCCTATATCACACTATATACAAAATTTGTCTTAAAATGGATCAGAGGCCTAAATGTAAGAACTAAAACTATAAATATTTTAGAATAAAATGTAGGAATAAATATAATCTTGGATTAGGCAATGGTTTTTAGATATGATGCCAAAAGCATAGCAACAAAAGATAATAAATTGGATTTCATTAATATTAAAAACTGTGCTTCAAAAGACACATCAATAAAGTGAAAAGACAATCCATAGAATGGGAAAACATATTTGCAAATCATGTATATTATAAGGAATTAATACCCAGAATATACAGAGAACTCTTAAAATTCAATAACAACAAAAAACCAAATAACCCAATTTAAAAATGGGCAAAGGACTTGAATAGACATTTCTGCAACAAAGATATACAAATGGCCAATAAATACATGAAAAGATGCTCAGTATCATTAGCCATTAGGGAAATGAAAATCAAAATGACAATGAGGTACTACTTCATATTCACTAAGAATGGCTATCATCAAGAAGATGACAATAACAAGTATGGACAAATATATGAAGAAATGAAATTGTGCACTGTTGGTGGAAATGTAAAATGATGAAGCTCTTTTGGAAAATAGTTGGGCAGTTTCTCAAAAGGTTTCATGGAGTTAAACCATATGACCAGTAATTGTACTCCTAGGTATATACTTGAGAACTGAAAATATGTGTCCACAAAAAAATACCAAAAAAACTTGTATGTGTGTGCCCATAATAGCATTACATCTAACAGTCAAAAAAGTGTAAGCAACTCAAATGATAAACAGATGAATAAAATGTGCATAATCCATACAATAGAATATTACTTGGCAATGAAAAGGAATGAAGTACTGGTACATACTACGACATGGATGGACCTTGAAATCATTGTGCTGAGTAAAAGGAATCAGTCATAAAAGGCCACATATTGTATGATTCCGTTTCAATGAAATGTCCAGAATAGGCAAGTTCATATACACAGACAATTGGTTGCCTAGGACAGGGAGAGTTGGGAAGAATGGAGAGTGACAGCTAGTGGGTATGGGGTTTCTTTCTGGCATAATAAAAGTGTTCTAAAGTTTATTGTGATGGTTCCACAGCTCTGTGAATATACTAAAAAAGATTAAAAGTGAAAACCATTTTTAACAGGTGAGTTATATAGTATATGAATTTTATCACAATTAAACCACTGTATTTTAAGTATCCTGCTTTACTCTTTAAAGTACTTTTGTAAATACAGATCAATTATAATTTACAAGGTATCTTGGCATTTTTACCCCAAAATTGAAATGTAATTAAAATTCCTTGGATTTTTTTTTCTTTCTGGAGAGTCTCTTGTGAACCATTGAGGTTACCTGAATAAAGGGGGCCAGCTCTTAATAATTAATGGAGTAAGTGTCTGTAGCCGTCAGTGTCTCTATCTCTCCTTCCTACCTCCTCTGTGCGAGTTCTGCACTGACAGCGCTCCTTCCTCACCCCCTCAGGCTTTGACCTCTCTCTCTCCTCTACCTGATCCATCCTCTGAGAGGTCCCAAAACTCATTCACACCAAGGAGTGAGTGACTGGTAACAACTTAAGTGTGACTCATAACAAGTGTTTACTTCCTAAAAGAGGTCCAAACCTTCTACCAAGGAGAGAATGTCTTAACAGGGAGATTCTAGGCATGGTTCGCAGCAATGGAGAACACTAAGTCATCTTATCCAATAGCTGCCTCTTTCTGTTGCTCCCTCCCCTCACTCATACGTACACACAGCAAGGCTGGCCCTGAAAGAAAAATCCTATATGGGAGAGCTGGTTATATCGGTATCTTTTAATGCACATAACAAGAAAGACCATTCGGGGAGTTCTGTCCTTTTCTAGGCCCTGTGTGAATAACCCGTGGGTGTCGTGCCCTGCTGGAAAGCCTAGTTTTGAATCTCATCTGTATTTATAATCCCATCAACCTAGTTGATGCTCTGGGTAGGCATCTTAGGCCCATGTGTCTCCTCAGCCAGAGGGCTCTGCTCGCGCCAGGGGAGCCCCCATGGCCCACCTGCTTCCATCCATGGGACGATCTGAGGAGTCATGTGCACATTTCCTCAGATGGTCCCCCGCAGGATTGAACTCCATTGCTCACAGAGGAACCTACCTGCTCATGAACGCACCCTCCACTGCTTTTCTGCTTTCTCTGTTTACACACACACCCACTCATGCTTCCTGGGATCACATTCCAAAAACTCTCTGCTCCCCTGTTCTTATTTCTGAGTCTGCTTTGGGGAGTCCCAAATAAGATAGGTACCTACCTCAAGGCTTGCTGTGGCACTCAAAGCAGAATAATAAAACAACAGTGTGGATGTTTGTTCAAATAGGAACAGTAAAACAAACGGGAGTTTAGCCTTTTACCACACCTTGTTCACGTCAAAATCCTCCTGCACTGGAGGAGCTGGGCACCTGCCAAGATGGAATGCTTGTCCCTGTGCCGCACCGAAGAGGCCAGCCAGCACCGAGAGCAGCAGCAGCACGGGCACCATCGTGGGGCTGGGTGGCTGCAGACAGAACCTGCATTTTGGGGAAACAAAGTAGCTGGAGTCATTCCGAGCCTCCTAAGAACATGCAGTTCCAGAGAAAGATTTCTGGACTGGTCGGTCCCTCTGTGGGCTGTCCTCCCTCTCAAGCCCTCTGAACAGCTCATCCTACAAGGCCACCTGAATCACCAGTGCCTTTTGTACTTCCTTTAGAGGACACTCTGCTGGTATTAGTGAGTTGGATTTATTTCGCAACCCATCCCTTGGCCTACTTACACATTTCTCAAGGATGTGCACCATGTCTAATTCTTCTTGGAATCACCCACAGAACCCCACAGTGGCACTCATAGTAGATACTTGTTGAATGACAGAGACAATGTGGGGATAGGCAAAGAGGGACATTGAAGCCATCAAGTGAACCATGAAACATTGTAAAAAGCCCCAAAACAAACCATGCACATTTGGTGTCTTATGAGAAATGCCTCCCTTACCCTCATCCCTACCCGCTGCCCCATCTTGCTGGGCTTTGCCAGCCTGAGAGTAGCCTGCAGACCTTAACAGCGAGCAACGTGCTGGGGACTCCAAGGTTACTCTGAGTGGGTTTCAATTCTGGCTTTGACACACACTAAGTAAACTGTGTCCAATTTATGCTTTAGTTTTCTGGTCTATTACTTGGGAATAATAACCAACCTCATAAAGTTTTTGCAAGAATTAAATGAGATCATATGAGAGCATTTGGAGCTTTATCTGACACACAGAATATGTTCAATAAATGCTACTTATTGTTAGAAAAACCAGAAACAAATGGTTGTTTCCTGATTTTTGTTTTTTGGACATTCTGTTGGGGGATGTTTCCATAGATGTGCATTGAACTAGAGAAGGTCTAGTAGCTGGCATGCAGGTGTGCAGCAAGGATTTAGGCCAAAGCACCCTCCAGAGGTGGAAACTGCTCTGAGGAGGGACAGCGGACAGCGGCCACAGCACCACAACCCGGCTGCTTCCTGCTTCCTTCACTGACTGGCTTCAGTCTGTTCTCTTCCTTGTGACTCCTTGCCTGGAGCTGCACAAGAGCTATTTCCAGATCTTTGCCTTTTTCTCTGCGATGAAGAGGACTAATCAATGCAAGCAAATGTTCTCAGATCTGAGCATTTAAAAGGATGAGTCATAACAGGAATAATTATAACCACTTTATTATGAGTCTCTAAACCTCTAAATAACCTTTAATAATCAATTGCTTTTCTTCTGGAAGTTTTCTTGCCCAGTTTTCAAAGAACAATTACATAATGAGTAAAAGCTGCCAGCCAGGGGTGATGGGGCAGGGGTGGTTGCTAAGCCCTCCTTGTGTCTATGGTGGGAGCACCTTCCTTAGTCCTTGAGGATCTATTTCCTATCATCCCCTAATACCATGCAGACAACACCTGTCTTTTAACCTTTTGGGGGATGATGGATTTATAGAAACCCAGCCTAAACCCACAAAATTTGCTCCCATTTCCAAGAGATTCTTAGAACCACAGAGCTCTACTCTCCGTCCAAGCATAGGGCCATGCCCAGAAGATCTGACTTCAAAGGATGGTCATACATAATGCACATTTTACAGGGCCCCCCAAATAGGACAAAGCTCTAGAGTTCACTTATCCAGTCCCTGCCTCCCACCCTGCCTAAGTGTGCAGTCGGGGAGGCTGAGGCATGGGAAGGGCAGGCTGCTGGCCCTCGGGCCCCCTCCAAGCCTCCCCGTTCTGCAGGGCCCCCTTCCTTCCGCGCCCCTGGCTCTCAGTGAACACTGGCCCCTGTAACCTGATGAGTCTTGTCTCCCCATGGGATAGTTAAACCGAGATCAGTTCCCTGTCTTCCTCTGACATGTATCTTATTACAGAATGTTCTACTGTGGGCTGAAACATGTTCTTTAGCTCTGTAGGAGGATTTCAGAGTAAGGCCAATTCCCCTTGCTTGAATCTCTTCCAAAGATTCTTCTTTATTGCAGTAATTTATTTTTATGGTTAAAATTTTTGTGAGAGAAAAGGTTGATAGCATCTATTAGTTTTTTTCAACCCCTCTTCCATTCTAATTCACTCAACACTTACAGAGCACCTTCTGAGGGGAAATCACATTATTAACATACAGCTATGAACTTGGGAATATATGACATATAGTTCTCTATCATCTTCTAATACTAATGGGAAGATTGTCCTAACAAGGAGAGTTAAAATGCTTTTAAAAATAAATATAATTTAAATGTTATTTTAACTGAATATAAAACAATTTTAAAATAATTCTACTAAGGTAATGAATGGTGTGTCCATTCTGGGCCAGCACTGATTCTGTGAATCGGTGCTCACGCTCATTGAGTTTCCCCCCAGAGAAGCCCTGGTTTCAGTATTTTACATGTGCCATGCACTGAATCTCCCTATCTGGAAGGGTTTTAGGTGGCATTCTGTTTGTAGTCAATGAGGTCAGTTTGCCCAGGTTACTTCCTGGTAAGCTGTGAAGCCAGAATTAATGCCCGATCTCCTAAGTGTCTGCACTTTTAAACACCTGCACATCAGCATGGACCTAGCATTTGATCTCATTGTTTTATAGAAAGTTAAGGACTAGATTTCTAATGATAAAGTAAAAATATTTCCATGAGTAAGTGGGTCTTAAAAACCCTTTAAGTTACTGAATCTAATAAGAAAACATCTTCAGAAGAAACTATTTTTATGCCATGTTGCAAAATGCATTTTCTAGTCACACAATGAATTCCAGTTCACTTCTCAGTTAATTTTATTGTAGTACACAGTTGGCATGGCTAACAACTGAGAATTCATGGTGAAGGAAAATTTTCTCATGGTCTCATATAGGATGGGGAGGGGTACATAATGTAAGCAGAAGACTTGAGTTGAGAAAGGGGTGAACCCAGTTCTGGCACTTGCTGGCAGTCTTACCATAGGCCTGTAGCTTAGGATATCAGAACCTTAGTTTCCTCAGTGAAAAATGGCACTAAGATACCTACCTCCTAAGGCTATTTGAGGAAAAATAAGACCATGTCTGTGAAGCTACTATCATAGGCCTTCAATCATGTTAATTATTATATTTAAAGTTATTTAAAGTTATTTTTAAATTTGAAAAGGGACAATCAAAAGTCAATACTATCTCTATTTTAAGCATTATTTATCATAAATGAAAATTAAAACCACAGTACATACCTTTTTTATCAAGATAAAGACAGTTTCCACATGCAATGTCATCCAACTTGAGATGCCTTGTCTTGGTGACTGGCTTCCCCCAAGTTATTTTATAAGCTTCGTCAGGTCATTGTTTAATTTTGATGCATGCCACACCCCCTACAGTTCAAGAAGGCTGGCCTAAAAGCTTAGCTCTTTATGCAACACAGAAATGGGATGTTATGTCCGTCTCCCTCCCCCAGTTTCCTTTACAGCTGTTCCCTGAAGAAGAAACAATGAGATACTGTTTGTGTGCCTGTGAGAGAGTGAAAGACAAAGGCATTTCATTCAAAACATCTTTTTTGCTATGTGGATTTTCTAATTTAATTTTCTCAGTTAGAATGCAATTTTAAGTTCCTGTAAGATGAGTTGCAACATGTTTTCAAACATCTGGTGTTTATTTTTCATTTTTCTATAAATGAAAAGTCAATAGTCTAGTCCCATTTCCTGAAACAAATTCCACCCCATGTGGTCCCTGGCCTGGAAGGTGGCTGAAGTAACAGAGTGAAGGTTAGGAATTAGAGTTAGGTTTCTATGTGATCCTGGGCAAGCTACCCTCTTCTTTGTGTCTCAGTCTCCCCATTGTGAAGTAGAGACTCATTCCTGTCCCTACCAGAACTGAGTGCTTCAGGGAGATAACCAGTTCTGTAATAGTTTGGGCCAAAAGCTGGTAATGCCAAAGGTGTCTTCTATAGCTTCTCTTCCTGTATCTCTGATGACATATTTTCCCAGCTACATATTCTAGGCAGCCTGTTACTGCTTAGGGTGGAGTCAGGAGTGCAGATTTAAGCCCAAGGACACTTTTGGTTGGTCCTCATGTCTATGGTATGAAAAGCATTGATGCTTATGAACTGAATCCTGTGCCTTTGCGATAGGCAGGAGGTATTTTTAGTGGCATACAGATAAGACAGTATCTCTGTAGTAGACTTAGATTCCTAAATAAAATTCATTCTCAAATTTGTAAGCAATAGGAATTTACAGCATTAGGCCTTATAAACAGAAAACAACAAGAATGAATCCTTAACATACCAAACTTTGAGAGTTCTTGCTTTGGAATGTTCTTTATCTTTTCAGGAAAAAAGGAATTCTTACTCCTATTCAGGGCACTGACTGCTGTACTTCTGTAGTGCTGCCCCTCAGAACTCCACGCTCCTCCCTTCCTCCATGTCCCTGCTCAAATGTCACTTTCTTTAAAAGGCTTTTCTGACCTTTCAAATATAGTATTCCTGTCACTACCATTTTACAGGCTTCATTATATCCTTATTGTATCTTTATCTGAAATTATATCCTTTATTTATGTATATTCTTGCTTTTTGTGTTTTCCCTGTTAGGATGTAAGCTCCAGGAGTACATTGGATTTATCTCATTGACTTACTGCTGTACCCTCAGTGGTTAGAGCACATACTAAGTGCTCAGTAAATCCTGGAAGTTGAATGGAAGGGACTTATCTATTCAAAGAATTTCCTGAGTACTCTAAGATATGCAAAAGGAACTCCAGGTAATAGTCAAGAGGCTTCTATTTGAATAGTTTTCCTGGAAAAGTATTAGCCTGTAACTTTCTGTGTCTTCTTTACCTGCATCAACTTGTCACCAGTAATTGCCTGTCTTTGAAGAAATACACAATTAGCCTCTTGTAAACTTCATAAAAAGAGAATTTTACTCTATTCTAAATAGTTGTACAGCTTTCTACAAAGCAATATTGCTAAAGGTTCAAAATGTGTAAGTTGGAGATTGATATATTTATATATTTTATTCCTTAGTATTGAATCAAGAACTGTGGAGCTGAAGGTACTAGTCTAGGAGTCACTGCATGAGAAAAATCATGTTATATTTCTGGGTCTCAGTTTATTCTTTTGTGTAAATATTGGCAAAATATGTCATTTAGAGAAATCCTACCTTTTGTTACTGGAATGTGCGCCAAGCACAAGTTGTTAAACAGCATAAAACAAATCAAACCTATGTTCTACACAAGTCTTTACTTTTAAATTCCAAAGCAGAACACATTTGTGTAAATAAATCAGTACCAAGATGTAGATGTCAGACAGTGTAAGAGACTCATAGTCCCCCATCTCAGAGACAACAATTGCCATGTTTGCATGTATTCTTTTAGGAATTCCTATATAGATCCTAACACACTCACAGTAATAGCAAGTCTCCAGTGTTCTGAAACTTGCTTATTTTCATGTAATAATGCAGCTCTCTTTATCAATATACACAGGTCTACTTTGTTCTTTCACCTGCTGTAAAACCTTGCTTTTACCTGACGGCACATGTCTGAAGGGGACAGTCTGTGGTGTCACAGGAAAGTAGATCTTTGGTTGGGTGATCTCTCATTACTTCAGTGACTGCCTCTGGAGTTTCACTATAAAGTCCTCAGGCAAGAGGAAATCATTTTGGTGGATTTCTTGTAGCATGAAATAAAGAACTAGGCCATCTTTTAAAAAAGAGTTTCGTGGGTGAAAATTTCTCTATGTATTAATAAGTGGTTCTTTAAACTACCAGTCATCTTGTAATTTCTCTTTTGTCAGTTAAAATAAAGGGAAAGCACAATTATACTTTTCATATGGAAACCTAGATATTTCAATAATATATTCACTATGTTTTCATAGTTTTCAATAATAAACTCACTCTTTAAGGCTCAGCTCAAAAGTCCCACTCTCTGGGATGCCTTTCCGAATTCCAGCCTACGCCATGCAGCATTCCTCACTCTGCTTTGTGATTCCACAGCACATCTTAGTGTGTTTGCAGGCCCATCACACCTGTTGGGCATCACCACAGGGCCCACCATCTCCCGGACACTGTCAGATCCTTCAGTGTAGGTTTGTCTTTGTATCCCCGCTGAACTCCATCATGCCTGGCACATAAACAGAGTTTAGTAATGCTACTGGATGACTGAATGAATAATAGAATGTTTATTTCTCATGATTTGCTGGGGTTATTATGTACTTCATGATTTCTCCAGGTGTCCTCTCCTCTGCTTCTAGCTCCCTTGTGACCACTTCCTTCATCACTAGGAGCTGGAACCAGTTGGGGGTTGAATGGTGCCAAGCATCTGGTGAACAGCAAGAAAGAACCAAGTTAATGAAAACTGCAACTTGATAAGGCATGGGGGAAAGAATACTGAACTAGCGGGATGTCTGGGGTTATGTTATTAATGTATTTTACCCATTCATTCACTTTTTCAAAATGCCTAACAAGCACTGCCACGTTCAGGCACTGTTCTGAGTCCTGCCAAGGTAGTGGCGAGGAAGAAAGACAAGGCCCTACCTTTTTGTGGGGTTTGCCTTTAGAGAAGAGTCAGACACACAGACAGGAAAATATATATAAGAGACTAGGGTGATGTGCTAGGGAATAACTGGGTGCCTATTTCAGATTGGTGGTCAGAAAGGGCCTCTTTGAGTGCTGAGATTTCAGCTAAAATGTGAATGATGGAAAGGAACCTGTCATTCAGGATCACACAGGGAGAGCATCCCAACACCTAGTGCTGAGTCCTAACGTGGGAACAGACTTCACATTTCCCAGCAACAGCAAGACCAGTGTGGCTAGAGTAGGGAGAGTGAAGAGGAAAATGATTCAAAGTGAGTTTGGAGAGGTAGGTAGAAGCCACATTATATCTTGCTTTGAGGAATTTGGATTTTTATTTCAAGTACCATGGGAAGCCATTGGAGGGTTTTAAGCAAGAATGTGACAAGATCATTCAGGCTGACCTGTCAAGAATGGATTGCAAAATGGATACAGAGAGATCAGCTATGTAGAGTGACGGTAATCAAAATGGAGAGAAGTGGTTTAATTTGGAATATGCTTTGGAGATAAAGTGGACAGGATTCTGATAGATTGAATATGGAAGATGAAGAAAGAGGGAAATCAAAACTGACTCCTAGATTTACAGGTTGAACAACTGAGTGAATGCTCATGTTAATGACTAAAACTAGGAAGACTGAGGAAGGGACTAAGTCTGGGAGGAAAATGAGTTCTTGATGGATAAATTATGTCTAACTTGTCTATTAGATATCCATGTGGAAATTTTAAAGAGATAGTTAATATTCAAGTCAAGTTTTGGAGAAAAGTGAGGGCTGAAAGTAGAGATTTAGGAATCATAAGCACACAAATGGTTTGCAAAGCTATGGGACTGGACAGGATAACCAAGGAGAGCATACAGTAATGGAAGAAAAGGATGCTCAGGGCAGATCCCTGTGCCTGCTCACCTACAGAGACTGAATAGTGCAGAAGGATCCAGTAAAGAATAGAAGCCTAATTTGAGTGCAGTGAGGAGGGGATGTGGAGACAGCAACTCTTTTAAAGTTGAAGGAAAGTAGAGAAGTTAGTGGTTGAAAGGAGACACAGGGGTTAAAGGAGATGCTAAGAGCATGGACATCGAAATGATCCAGTAGAGGAGAAATAGTGACTGTGCAGGAGAGGGGGTGGAGACTGCCAGGGCAGCCCTGAGTGGGAGAGAAGGCACAGGATCCAGAGCGCATGGGGGAGAGGCTGACTTTTGAGAGGAGCAAGGGTTCTGAGTCCACAGAAACAAGGGGGAAAGAAGAGGGTAGCCAACCAGATGCAGGGAGGTATGTAGATTTGGTGGTAGGAAGATGCAGCATTTTCTCTGAGTGACTGGTCAAATCACTTACCTTGCTGAGATGTGTTACTCCTGTAACAGCTTCTGATAATAAAGTTTGATGCTAGAATAAATCCTGGTTAGAAGAATTATCACTGACTTATGAGCTGTAGGATACAGGTCTGCTCTGATCATGGTAAATGGGCTTCTTTGAACACAGTCACCCTGCTAATTACACCTACGTTTACTCCTGCTTTAGTCAATGAGGGACAGAGTGGGGAAGATGCAGGGTTCAAATTAGCACTAATTATAGTAATAGCTCCTTACTATTGAACACTACACATCAGACCCTGTATAGGTGTTTTCCATACACTAACTCTTACTGTCACCACACCCTGCAAAACAGGCATTAGTACTATTTCCATTAGAGAGATGAAAAAACTGAGGTGAGAAGAGGTAATCAAACAACTTTTCTAAAGTGATGAAGTAACAATTTAAACCCTAAGGTGTGACTTCCATTATGTTTTATTGCTCCAGCGTAGAAAGGGGTAAAAGAGTTTAGCTAGGAGATTATCCAGTGGTTAATGCCCTCTGGTTAAGTATCTTCCAACCTTCTCAATAGAAAAAGATGACACCAGTAACTCGTTCCTAAGAAATACTGTGGGAAGCATGAGGGCTGAGGTTCCTGCAGCATGCTCCAAAACTAGTGCTCCAGACTCCTTGACAAAAGCTACCTGGAAGCAAAGAATTGGACCCATCCATTCACTCTTCTATCCAGCTCTGGAATCCAGCAAATTCCAGGCTGAATCCTCAGCCAAGTTATTGTGGTCTTAAGCCTTTTCAGATGTTCGCTGGAAAACAATCTTTGTCCAGTTTTACAATTCTGTATAAAATGAGGTCAGTTCTTATGAATACATATAGAGCAACAGGGCCTCGCCCATACCTTTCAACATGGTATGGACTTTTCCATGCAACTTCAGGGCTTCCATGAAAATTCGGGACTTTTCCATGAAAAGGCAGTAAGATTTCTGTTTTGTTTTTCTAAATTTTCTATGATAATAAACTGCAGGAAAGAGCCCAGGCCCAGGAATTGGGAGATGGGGCTCCTGCCCTGGCTTTCTCACCTTAGCTGGGTGACTTGGGAGGGGGTCCCAAGCTTTCAGTGAGGGGTTCAACTACCAGGTGTTTACAACACAGAATCTGTGGAACTATATGGCAAGTTGATAGAATTGTATTTTAGTATAACTGAATTCCTTTGTGATCCTGTGTCTTTTATTTTTATACATTTCTGTCAAATTGCCAAAGGGGTCTATAGCACAAAAAGGTAGGAACCTGCCAGAGGATCTCTGGAGTCCCTGCTTGATTTGACATAATTTCCACTAATACACCTTTTGGAACTAAACTTTTTTTTAACAAAGTTCATCTGAGTGTGAAAGAGTGAAGGGCAGCTTCCCAAGCTGGTCAGAGAGGCCAGTAAATAGGAGCATCACATACAGGCTGGGACCCAGGCCAGCAGAGGGGAAGACCCAGGCTCTTGGCTCTCACATGGTACCATCATCTGGGTAGAGGGCTGCACCATCCACACACATCTCTATTTGTGGACCACTCCGGCGAGGCAGCAGCAGCCTGCAGGCTGGGATATCTTGGGAGCCATGTGTGCCTGGAGAGAGAGAAGAGGAGAGGGAAAGAGTGGGGACTGGAGGAAGACCATGACCTGGCCTGCCTCCTACCTCCTGTGCTATTTCCATTCCTGGAACACAGCTTCTGACAATATAGTTGAAGTCTAGAATAAATCCTAGTGAACAGAGTTATCACTGACTAATGAGCTGTAGGATCCTAGATGCTTGTTATGCTGGGTACTCTACATATATTATGTCCTTTAAGCCAAGAGCAACCATGTTGTATATATGATTATAGCCATTTTGTGGAGGAGGAAACAGGCTCCCAGAGGGTAAGTATCTTGCCCAGTATGGTGCAGTGAGTGGCTGAACTGGGATTCCCACCCACTTCCACATTTGCCTTCTCATGAATGGGAGCTGTTGGCCAATCTTCTGGTCCAAGGTAGTCCCCCTCTCTCTCAGACTGGCACATGCCCCAGTCTGAAGAACAGGATTTCTGTGTCTTCATCCATTATCTCTAAGAAAATGGCCAAGTTTGAGTTATTGATTTATTATTTGCTTTGTCAAAAGTGGTGTTACTGTACTGTCTGGAGTTTTGTGTTTGGCCTGGAAGCTATCACGTTTTCTGAAATCAGTATTTACAAGTACATCTTCATTACAGCTATGAGGTGAGTATTATTGGATTTGAGAACCACAGTATACCCCATTAAGAATGGCAAGTGGTTGTCATGGGCTGCATCTCCTGGAGGGTCTAGTGGGTGTCAGGGAGAGGAGGTGACTGAGAAGCATAGATTTCACTGATTTCCAGATTTAGGTGGGGGCTGTATAGTAGATCCATTACAGACTCAATAGTAGATCAGTGCATCCCTCCATCTCACATGGGGTCTACGTTTTGGAATTTAGAGTCCACGTTTTAGAACTGTTGGTAGAGGGAGCTATGATGGTACTCTTTGTGCTCTTCCTTTCCAAACGTCTCATGTTAGTGACTCTTCCTTAGGCCAGTGGTCCTTAACTCCACTTACATATACTTGGGGTGCTTTAATCAAGACTTATTCTGGGGCCCTACCTGCAAAGATTCTGACTTAAAAGACCTGTGTGATGGTTTGCACATCAGTAATTGATACCAGCCAGGATGAGGACCACTGGGTCATGGTCTTGCTTGCCTTTGGCCATCCTGCTTGCTGCTCCCTTACCTGGAAGGCCTCCTGCCCTCATCACCCAGCCAACTTTTGCTTGTCTCTTGGGATGTCTCCTCTGACCCTGCTTGGGCTCTGTGGCCCTCCTCAGTGCAGCTTGCATCAATTTTCTGTGACACATCACACAGCATTTCAGGCTTTGGTTTGTCTGACTTGCCTTAGGAAGGGATGTGGCCTTATTTCTATTAAGCCCCAGCTTCCAGCACAATGCCTGGCACAAGACAGGAGCTTGTAAATGTTTGGTGAATAAATGCAGGAATGAAAATAAATGTGGCGGAAAGAATCAGAAATGTGGCCAGATAGGCATCCAGTTCCCCAAAGGCCCAGAAGACACCTCAAGAGAGCTCAATAAGAGTGTGTTTGGGGTGGTCTGAGGCTGAATGTGAACCTGACTCACGGAAATAAATAAGTTCAGTTTTTAGAAAGGTCTCACATGCTGTCATGATGTGCACCACAACAAGTGTTGAAGTCTCTGGGCTGCAGCCCCTACTACCATGTGCCGCCATCAACCAGCCCATAGCATCTGCTCAGCATTTATGAGTCAGGCTGCCTCTCTCTCCCTCACAGAGATGTTGGGTCTGTCTCAGAGGAACAAAGAAAACATTCTGACTGTGCGAGAATAGCTTTCAGGGTTTTCCTGATGTATCCCTGGAGAGGAGACAATTTATTTCTATCTGTTAAATGGGACCAGTAGGAGTGGGGCATGTCCATGTCCTTCAATCATGAGATTCAGATAAGGACACGAGTGGCAGAGCCTCCTTGGGATGGGCACTCTGAGGTTGCCAGATGGAGTAGTCCTACCTTTAATGAAAATGGAGAGGGATGAGAAGGTGTCTCTACTGAGAACCTACTCAACAGCACTCAAATACCATTCCCTGGACTCTGTGTTAATTCCTCTATTCCTCACAGCAACCATGTGAAGTAGATATTGTCTCTACACTATTTTCATACTTCAGTCACTTTTCTTCAACACCTACATACTTTCAGTCTCCAAATTCTCTCCATCTAACCTCTAAATTTCCTTCTCTCTTTCACCAGTGGCAATGCCTTAGCTCAGCCCATCATCTAATTTGACAAGAGAAGGTTCAAGTGTCACTAAGCTCAGAAGCATATGTCACAACCCTAGTGGAGCTGCATTTGGACCTGGGTCTTGGATTAAAGACACTTTCTCTGTTAAGCCAACAATTCTCAGACTGACTAAGATGCTCTTGATGTTTCTGACTAATCCCCTTAGACTTCATTCTGTCTCCCCTACTTCCAGGCCTAAGTATTTGATCTGTTTCACAAAATAGTCATTTATTCATTTAACAAATGTTTACTGAGCATTTCCTAAGGACTAGCCACTCTGCTGGGCATCATGAGGATGTGGTGTATGAGGTAAAACCCTGCCTTGTGGAGTTTGCTATCGAGCTCCCCCCTGAGTTGTTGCCCTGGTCCCTCCTCACCTCTCTCACCTGGACCAGTGGCCTTTATAGGAGAAGCTGGACATGGCCATCCATCAGACAAACTCCTGAAATTCCAGGAGCTCTGCATCTGGTCATGAAGGGCCCAGGGTAGCTCCATTCTGTCCATCCAAGGGCTGCAAGTGGTCTCTTACCTTCCCCCTCCCCCAACTACCTCCACCCAGGAGAAAGACAAATGATGGGGACCCTTAGCATCTCAGGTGCCTAGCTCAGTCATGCCAGTGCCACAGGGGCCCTGATCTCCAGGGAAAAAATCCTATTGACCCGAGGTAGGTCAGGAATCCTTTTATCTTTGGTGTCATGAACTCTCAAGTAAACATGACTTATATATATTTTGTCCTTAATTATTGAATGACTGCTTTCCCGCTACATTCTGTTTCTTTCAACTGGGCTACTTTGATGTAGTTAGAATAACAAAAATTTTGGAAAACAAACTCAACTTTTAAAGAAAAATATGTGAAAGAAAGATTTGGCTCATTGAATCTGCTTCAAATAGGGAAATGTGAATAATGAATAGAAGGCCTATGACTTTATTAAAAAGGCCAAGAATGGGTCATCTGAAGAAAGTCTCCTGGGCCTGAAGGAGGTTCCCATCTCACAAACCTAAGGGAAAAACACACATACTTTTCCTTTTACTCTACACTTTGGCCTGAGATGATCTCCATGTTGTCATAGTAACTATTCCAGGTTGAGATTTTCACTTCCTTGAGATTCACTTTAACTCACTCACTCAAAAAAAAAAAAACTCAACTGATAGCCTAAAGGTTTAGGAATCAAATCTAACTCACCCAATTCCCCTTTTCTTCCACTGCCCAGGGCCCCAGGCTGTGGAATTTTTCAGAGGCTGGTATCTCTACTTGAGGGGAAGTGGCTGAATTTCCCAGGACCCTTCCATTTCAGGAGGGTCGTTTGAAAGGATGTCCATGGCCTGCCTAGCTATGATGGTACTCTTTGTGCTCTTCCTTTCCAAACGTCTCATGTTAGTGACTCTTCCTTAGGCCAGTGGTCCTTAACTCCACTTACATATACTTGGGGTGCTTTAATCAAGACTTATTCTGGGGCCCTACCTGCAAAGATTCTGACTTAAAAGACCTGTGTGATGGTTTGCACATCAGTAATTGATACCAGCCAGGATGAGGACCACTGGGTCATGGTCTTGCTTGCCTTTGGCCATCCTGCTTGCTGCTCCCTTACCTGGAAGGCCTCCTGCCCTCATCACCCAGCCAACTTTTGCTTGTCTCTTGGGATGTCTCCTCTGACCCTGCTTGGGCTCTGTGGCCCTCCTCAGTGCAGCTTGCATCAATTTTCTGTGACACATCACACAGCATTTCAGGCTTTGGTTTGTCTGACTTGCCTTAGGAAGGGATGTGGCCTTATTTCTATTAAGCCCCAGCTTCCAGCACAATGCCTGGCACAAGACAGGAGCTTGTAAATGTTTGGTGAATAAATGCAGGAATGAAAATAAATGTGGCGGAAAGAATCAGAAATGTGGCCAGATAGGCATCCAGTTCCCCAAAGGCCCAGAAGACACCTCAAGAGAGCTCAATAAGAGTGTGTTTGGGGTGGTCTGAGGCTGAATGTGAACCTGACTCACGGAAATAAATAAGTTCAGTTTTTAGAAAGGTCTCACATGCTGTCATGATGTGCACCACAACAAGTGTTGAAGTCTCTGGGCTGCAGCCCCTACTACCATGTGCCGCCATCAACCAGCCCATAGCATCTGCTCAGCATTTATGAGTCAGGCTGCCTCTCTCTCCCTCACAGAGATGTTGGGTCTGTCTCAGAGGAACAAAGAAAACATTCTGACTGTGCGAGAATAGCTTTCAGGGTTTTCCTGATGTATCCCTGGAGAGGAGACAATTTATTTCTATCTGTTAAATGGGACCAGTAGGAGTGGGGCATGTCCATGTCCTTCAATCATGAGATTCAGATAAGGACACGAGTGGCAGAGCCTCCTTGGGATGGGCACTCTGAGGTTGCCAGATGGAGTAGTCCTACCTTTAATGAAAATGGAGAGGGATGAGAAGGTGTCTCTACTGAGAACCTACTCAACAGCACTCAAATACCATTCCCTGGACTCTGTGTTAATTCCTCTATTCCTCACAGCAACCATGTGAAGTAGATATTGTCTCTACACTATTTTCATACTTCAGTCACTTTTCTTCAACACCTACATACTTTCAGTCTCCAAATTCTCTCCATCTAACCTCTAAATTTCCTTCTCTCTTTCACCAGTGGCAATGCCTTAGCTCAGCCCATCATCTAATTTGACAAGAGAAGGTTCAAGTGTCACTAAGCTCAGAAGCATATGTCACAACCCTAGTGGAGCTGCATTTGGACCTGGGTCTTGGATTAAAGACACTTTCTCTGTTAAGCCAACAATTCTCAGACTGACTAAGATGCTCTTGATGTTTCTGACTAATCCCCTTAGACTTCATTCTGTCTCCCCTACTTCCAGGCCTAAGTATTTGATCTGTTTCACAAAATAGTCATTTATTCATTTAACAAATGTTTACTGAGCATTTCCTAAGGACTAGCCACTCTGCTGGGCATCATGAGGATGTGGTGTATGAGGTAAAACCCTGCCTTGTGGAGTTTGCTATCGAGCTCCCCCCTGAGTTGTTGCCCTGGTCCCTCCTCACCTCTCTCACCTGGACCAGTGGCCTTTATAGGAGAAGCTGGACATGGCCATCCATCAGACAAACTCCTGAAATTCCAGGAGCTCTGCATCTGGTCATGAAGGGCCCAGGGTAGCTCCATTCTGTCCATCCAAGGGCTGCAAGTGGTCTCTTACCTTCCCCCTCCCCCAACTACCTCCACCCAGGAGAAAGACAAATGATGGGGACCCTTAGCATCTCAGGTGCCTAGCTCAGTCATGCCAGTGCCACAGGGGCCCTGATCTCCAGGGAAAAAATCCTATTGACCCGAGGTAGGTCAGGAATCCTTTTATCTTTGGTGTCATGAACTCTCAAGTAAACATGACTTATATATATTTTGTCCTTAATTATTGAATGACTGCTTTCCCGCTACATTCTGTTTCTTTCAACTGGGCTACTTTGATGTAGTTAGAATAACAAAAATTTTGGAAAACAAACTCAACTTTTAAAGAAAAATATGTGAAAGAAAGATTTGGCTCATTGAATCTGCTTCAAATAGGGAAATGTGAATAATGAATAGAAGGCCTATGACTTTATTAAAAAGGCCAAGAATGGGTCATCTGAAGAAAGTCTCCTGGGCCTGAAGGAGGTTCCCATCTCACAAACCTAAGGGAAAAACACACATACTTTTCCTTTTACTCTACACTTTGGCCTGAGATGATCTCCATGTTGTCATAGTAACTATTCCAGGTTGAGATTTTCACTTCCTTGAGATTCACTTTAACTCACTCACTCAAAAAAAAAAAACTCAACTGATAGCCTAAAGGTTTAGGAATCAAATCTAACTCACCCAATTCCCCTTTTCTTCCACTGCCCAGGGCCCCAGGCTGTGGAATTTTTCAGAGGCTGGTATCTCTACTTGAGGGGAAGTGGCTGAATTTCCCAGGACCCTTCCATTTCAGGAGGGTCGTTTGAAAGGATGTCCATGGCCTGCCTAGGGAATAATCACAAGTTCTGGTACAGGGATGTGCTTGGGCAGAGTGGCTTCAGCTAAGGCCCTGAGGGATTAGGTTTGAAACTGGGGAGAAAGAAAAAACAAACAAACAACGGAACAAAACAACCAAACAATGCCACAAAGGAAGCACTGTTCCTGTGAGCAGATGGAGCTGTGGGGTCAGCCCAGCCCAGGTCACTGTGCCAGGCCTCCCACGGCATCTGTGCTGGGCTGGGAGGAAGCACATCTCTGGGCCAGGGGATAGCTCTGGTGGAGAACTGGCCCAGGGGTAAATGGCTACATTAGGATATCCTGCAGAGCTGAGGGATACCCACAGGACTTTAGATCCGAAAACTGGATAAGTGGAGGGTACTTTACAGTTCTACTGTAAGAGTCCTTCAGTGTAGACAGCCAAATAGAATAATATTCAAGTGCCATAGTGAACATTCCAGATTGAAATATACAACTTAACTGCCACCCATTCAGATTAACTGACCAAATAACCAGATCACTGCCAAATCTTCAGGCCTCAGGGGGATCTGTGGACATAGGCATGGGTTTAAATATCAGGAGGCTGCCTTCAGACCTGTAAGCTGTTTTTAACATACATGGTCTTACTTGTACCCAAACAGATGGTTATTCTGCATTCTCCTTAAGGCCCCTTCCTTTCCTGAGCATCTGTGATTTTACTGAGACCTGGAGCTAAACAGTGTTAGGGATGAATCATGCTGCAAATGGCCACTGGGAGTTGGGGGACAGCAGAGGCAAGGAAGAATTTATGTGACTGAATATATCCACTGCATTACTTGCCCCTGCTCAGGTCCCCTGAGATTCTTGGGGATGAGGGAGTCTGTGATCTTCTCTCAGTGATGTTATAGCCAACTAAGCTTTATCCTATTTCATCTTCCTTCACTTTTGCTATCTTGACAGGCCATTACTATTTACACCCAGGGACTGAATCTGTGAGGATCTCCATGAGAGCTCAGTTAAAAGAATCCTTGTGACGGTAGGGCTTCTGGAAAGAGCACAGGTCTGTGAGTCAAGACAGGAGGGTTCAAGACTGCTGTGTCTTCAACTTTGCAGCTGACCTTGGCAAGGCACTTCCTCTGCCCAGATCAAAGGGTCAGGATCTTTCTTGCCACTTTGATAGTCTATGACTGTGATTTCACACCTCGTGTGGAAAGAACAGAGGACCCCAGGCAGGTCAGTGGAGTCAGAAAGGGAAGTTGGTCATATTAATAAGGGCACCATTACATACCCTTGGGTCCTCACACAGCCCTACTTGCACCTTGTTTGAAGCCCACTGGCTGCTCTCCATCTTCCAGACCACCAGCTCGCAGTGGGCCTGCAGGCCTCCTAGAAGCACCAAGACTCACTGGGTCACCATTTATTGTCTATTTTTGCACTCACCATGGGGGAAGAAAGCCAGGTAGACAGTCTGTGGAGGGCATTTGAAGATAGCAGTTGGGGGAGATGCTTCTATTTTGAAACCATTTGCTGCAGGCCCTCCAGCTGCAGTACAGAAAAGGACTATAGTCATGGGTAAATAGCACTTGCTATTTTCTTCAGATGAAATTGTTTATCTGAAACAGGGACTGCAACACAAGTTCTATTTTTCTGCACTATGTTCCTAATAATATTTGTGCAACAGCGAGTGTGATTATTAAACCTGTCTTACAGTCACAAAGGAGCTGTAAGGAAGCCAAGAGGCACAGACTCCCCAAGGCAGGATTTGCAGATTTCGTAAATTCCAAACAATTTTCCTCATGAACTGCAGTAACCTACCACAAGAGAGAGGAGATGGAGTCCAACTCCAAGGGCATCTTGTCCTCATAGAGTTTGTTTTGACACCAAAAGAATTTCATCTGTGTGTCATTCTCATGGTCTTACTCCCATAGTTTGTTCAGTGCTCAATCTAGTGCACACTTGGTGAACACACAGGTCTGTCTCACTAGTACAGAATAACTGGTTGAGAAGGGGAACAGTCCATGATGCCATGGGTTAGTTTATTTGCAGATCCAAATGGTCTGGTCAGTTCTTCTCCCAAATTGCTGAGGGGAGGGTTTCTCTTAGATACAAGATTGTGCTGTGGCTGAGAGCTGAAGCCCTCGGGCTCTAGGAGAAAGCCAGCCACTTGAGGCTAAGCCTCTGGTCAGACCTGAGACAGCCTTGGGATTTTAGTGAGCGTGCTGGGCCAATCTAGACAGGGAAGAAAGAAGTGCCTGGATGATTTTAGATAGGCTTTTTTGTACAAAAAAGAGGTCACTCTGCCATCTAGTGCAAACCAAACCCAGAATTCAGACACATACATGCAGTTTTCCCCATAACTCTCCCCTTACCAGAAGGCTGGTCCTTTCCCTTCCACATCCTTCTCAGGCAGCGAGGGTCCCTTTCCTGGCTCTTCTTCTGTCTCCACTGCTCATGCCCTTCCCAAGGCTGCTCTTGGTGCTTGTTTCATCCACCTTCGCCTGGATACACGTCATGGAAGAGGACAATGAGCTTGTTCCCATGCTGTCCTTCACCCCTCAGGAGGGCCTGGGGCCTTGCTTGGCTGAACAGCAGAACTTAGAGATAATAAAATAAGGAAGAAACCTGAGAAAAGAGGAGAAGCAGAGGAAGACCAGGACTGTGAGCTTGCCACTTGCTAACTGATCTCTCCCAAGAATTAGGGAAGGAGACAACTTATAAAATATAATTTAGCTCTCCAAACTCTAGAATGATCTGAATCTTCCATATTCACTTTACTGAGGCTACCTCTAGTGTTTTGTTTAGGTAGATTTGGGTGAAGCAACTCTGATCCCTTTTATTGTCAGTAGATTTGAACCAGCCATGAAAAAAGGGATGAATTATAAAGCTTGGTCCTCAAATATGCCCTGGTTTTAAATTAAACCCAAATATTCAGTTTAGTTTTCATTTTTTACTTTATCCTGCTTATGAGATCCACAAAACAGTGATAACCCCATTTTTCATTTCCACTGACACCATTTTTTTGACATCTTTTCTCATCGTTAGCCATGCAGGTCTGCAGAAAATAAGTAAAAAATTATCTCCTTTTGTTTTATTTTATTTATTGCATCTTTGTGGACAGATAAAAGATATAGTCTTTTAGTTTATATAAAGTATAAAGATCAAGGGAAGTCTAATTCAAGTTGAAAATCAACATTTGGCGGTTAATAAACTTAAAAACCTCCCCAGGGTGCTATGTCTACAAGAAATTCTAGTATCAAGTGCAAGTACCATATTGTTGATAGACCTTAAGCATCTCACCTACCAATGAAGGCTTAGAAGTAGCATCTATCTTGAAGTTGTTCATGTTGAGACATAAGATGATGCTGGCAATATTTATTTTAAAAACATACAAACAATAGGTCTCTTTTTCCTTACACTAGCCACATTTTTTATAGAACTTAAAAGTACTTTTGGAACTGTTGTGTGTGGTAATAGAAACACTTCATGTTCAATGCCAAAAAATGTGCAAAACACAGGAAAGCACAAAGAAGAAAAGCATACAGGAGCCATGAATCCCACCAGTCAGATAGAGTCATGGTTAACCTTTGGTATTTCTGATATGTGGAGACAGAGTCATAGAGGTAGAAAGGCACATATCTTCTAAAATAAAAATGAGATCTTATGGAGGGGTAGGGAGACAAAAAAAAATAAGATGAAAGAGATGCTGCAATTGCATCAGAGTTCATGCGAGGCCTTCTGATAGACATGTGGGCCATTTGAGCTAGCTCACCTTTGAGCCCTCCCAGAACTAAGTTCTAGGAGCCTCGGCTTCTAAACTACCTCAGGGTGCAGCCTGGTTTTAGCTGATGGTTCTGATCCTGGTGTCTCCATGGCCTGTCCAGGTTTCATAGCGGTTCAAGGACCCTCTAGGATTTAGCTCCCCACATGGACCTTAAGGAAGGTTGTGAATAAGATGCTTTTAACTTTTCCTCTCCCTCCTTTTTCTCCTGAGACAGGATTCTTGGCTTTCAGAAGGCAAGCTTCTCTGCAATTGACTGATTATTTATCATATTTGCTCTGCTGTCGCTATAATAGTTTTTTATTTTGCTTCCCTGAGATATGTTGTGAGAGGAGGAAATAATTTGTGAGAGAAGTTTTTTTCCTTTGTTCCTTTTTATGCCCCTTTATGCTAAACATATGAAATGACTCCTCGTGCATTTCCCAAACCCTGTACTAGAGAAAAGTTTTCATTCTGTTGAGTCTTCAAATGATTCCACACAGGTTCCTTTGACTTTGGCCAGATCCATTCAATATTCATTCCACAAAATTTTATTAAGCACCTACATGCGTCAGACACCATTCTAAGTATTGGGGATAAGCAATGAATGAAATTGACAAAAATCCCATCCCTCATGGAGTTACCATTCTGGTGAGACCTGATGGCCAAATGCTTCTTGCTGCCAATTCATCCATCCATCTGCTCAGTCGTTCATTTATTCATTCAATAAAGAGTGTCTGCTAAAGTGGCTGTGAAATGTTTCAACTTGGCTAGACTGAACCACATGCTCCTCTCCTGTGTGTTTTTGGTTAGGGTGGGCCACAAGAGGGATTGTCATGTGAGATTTGGAGGGTGAAAGTGGCCCAGCAGCCATTTTATAGCTCACACACAGTCATTTATCTAGTGGCCCACCTCACTGGCATAAAGCAGTAACAGACCTATAACTACCCTGCCCTCTCCTGAGGCTTCCTTGGCTCCTCCAGCTCCTGGGCCAG